CTAAATTCCATCGGTATTCGCCCTGGGCGGAACGATTTTCTGATTATTTCTTTACTGATAAAAGTCTTGATGTTATTCGGGTTGATTTGTCGAACATAAACTGGGCTTCTGTTCTGTCGCATCCTGTGGCTGACGCTTCTTATTGCAGTTTCGTAAATACTGTTCGTCACATTATTGAAAGTAGGGCTTCCAAAAGAGTGCATGGCTCTTATAGGCTACCGTGGTATACTAAGGGTCTAGGGAGATATAAAAATCTACGTAACAAGTTCTATAAACGTTTTGCTAGGACGCGTGACCCTGTTGACTGGGCGAGGTATATGCAGCATGAGCGCGAATTCACCTTTCTGAATAAATTTTTATATATATCCAGTACATTTCTGACGTTGAGAGGGGACTTAAAACCAATCCCAGGTCGTTCTGGCGCTTCGTAAGTTCCAAAAGATCGACGAGCTCGCTTCCATCTGCTTTGAGCTTAGGTGATTTGACTGCAAATACTGATTGTGGCATAGCTAAGTTGTTTGCTTCTTTTTTCAGATCAAATTTTGAACCTTATGCCGTTTGGCATGACTTAGGTACTCTAAATTCTATTCCTTCGGTCGTCAATATTGGTGCATTAGCTATATCTGACGCTGACATCTTGGAGGCTGTTGTCGATTTCGACAATTCTAATAAGCCCGACGGTGATGGCATTTCTCCCTTCCTTCTTCGCAATTGTGATATTGCTTTTTGTGATCCTCTCAAAATACTCTTCACAAGGTCTCTTGCCACGGGTTGTTTCTGTGATAGTTGGAAGGCTGCCACAATTACGCCCATTTTTAAAAAAGGTGCTAAGAATTTGATCTCCAATTATAGACCAATTGCCAAACTTAGTAATGTGTCGAAGCTTTTTGAGCGAATCCTAACCAAAAAGATAACTTTCCTCATGAAGTCGTATATCAGCCCAAATCAACACGGGTTTATGGCGGGTAGATCCACGACCTTTGAGTTGCACACTCAAGTTGACGCTGTGTATACTGACTTTGCCAAGGCCTTTGACAAAGTTTCTCACAGTGCCCTTATAGTCAAGTTATATCAACTAGGGATTCATTCCCGCCTGCTCGGTTGGTTATCTTGAGAGACGGGAGTATGTGGTGTTGATAAATGGAAAGCATTCGGACCCATATGTGGCTACTTCCGGCCTTTCACAGGGAAGTGCACTTGGTCCTCTGCTGTTCTTAATATTTATCAATGACATATGTCCCAGCATCCAAGGCTCTGAGTATCTGCTCTTTGCTGATAAATTGAAAATTTTCCGGGCTGTCAAAACCTTAAGCGACAGTATCCTGCTGCAGCGCGATCTGGACGGAGTTGCTCGTTGGTGCAGACGTAACTCGCTCCCTCTCAACATTAGCAAATGCTATTCTGTTTCTTTTAGGAAGTGTGTCTTTAGTGTGATGGCCTCATATTCAATAGATGGCCATCCGCTTTTAAAACAGACGGACATACTTGACCTAGGGGTCTTGTTCGAATCAAAATTTCTTTTTGTCGAGCATTTGAATTTTATTCGGCTTTGTTAAACGCAATGCATCCCAGTTCAGAGACACATATACGAGGCTATGTCTGTACTCGTTCCTTGTACGCTCGCGGCTCGAGTACGCTTCCGTTGTTTGGAACCCCACCGGGGCCGTGCAAATTTCACGTATCGAGAGACTGCAAAGAAGGTTTCTAAAGTTTGCACTCAAACCCTTGCAATTTTCTCTCCCCTTGCCATCGTATGAGCGTAGATGCCGCCTTGTGCACCTCTCCTCTCTCGAGGATCGTAGGACCATCGCGGCACAGATATTTCTGTATAATCTACTAGTGGGTAACATTGATTGCCCTGACCTGCTTAGTCGGATTGGCTTCAGTGCGCCTGCCAGGAGCCTAAGAGCGCATGCACCTTTTGTGGTCGATCGGCATCGGACCAACTATGGCAATAATGAGCCCATCTCCAGGGCTCTCCGCCAACACAATGCGCTGCCAGCAGGGATGCGGTTTGACTTTTGCCAGGGGAAGAGAGCCGTCAGATGGATACTTTCCGACTTTTTTCTTTTTCATGATTGATTTTTTATATTTTGTTGTTGTTTTTTATTATTTAAGGTAGAATTAAGCTAGTTTAGCCAGTTAAGGATATTTTAAATCTGTTGGCCAATAAATGAATAAAACATTAAAATTTAAGTCTACAAGTACAAAATTGAAGTGCTACGAAATAAATTTAAAATAAGATTAAATTCGTATAAATAATTTCAACACTTTCGTAGCAAATGAGCGACACGAGCGGACAACCGGGCAAGAGTCCGGCGCCCAAGGCTAAGCCAGAAGGCAGCGAGTTGCTGGATGAAGGGTCCAAGGACGTTTTCTTTGACGGACCACCAGCTATTCGACAAGCAATTCGCTGTCGGATATATGGGAGCAGGGATTCCAGCAGCAGGCACAGTCGTACGAGCAGGTCAACATGGCCCAGCAGGCCGCAGAGACACGCAAGAAGCTGGAGGAGGAGCAGACACGAGTGGGCAGCATGGAGCAGCAGCTGAAGCGAGCCTGTCAGGAGAAGCAGCAATCGAAGGATCTACTGGCGGACACGCAGGTGAAACGCCAGAGTCTGGAGAGCCGCCTCGATAAACTGAGCGAGAAGAAGAAGTGGGCGGAGCAGTGCAATACCCAGCTTGAGTCCAAGTTGCAGCAGACCCTCATCCAGTGCCAGCAACTCAATGAAAAATGCGCCCATAGCGGCGAGATGCTGGATAGGAAACAGATCGACTTTGATAAAATCACAAAGCGATACAACTCACCAGAACTTTCTTTATTTCTTTCTTTTGGCTGTGCAGACGGCTTAAGTGAGCTGAAATATGTATATCGGGGCGTATGAGAAGTTGAGGACAGTCGTGGCAGGTCGAGGCTGAATTATTTGAAGTTTATAATTGAAATTGAAACAACAGACAGCGGACAGTGGACAGTAAGCAGCAAGTAGGCTGCAGTACGTTAAGTATTTGTCTGTGATAATTGCTTACAATGAAAAAAAAAAAAAACGAGAAGGAACGTGTGAGTCGTTTCTGGGGACACGACTCTACTTATACCCGTACTCAGTCAGTATATACATTATTGAGCTTATGATTTTTTTGAATTTTATGAAAAAAAAAAAATTTACATTTTAAATTTTTTTGCTACATCTCCTATCTATATCTACATATACAATGTCTATTCTACATCTAACATGTAGATTTTACATGTTCCATTCACATTTCATCTCTCCTCCGCTAGGGGTTGCTCGCGCACTGAACGCGGCAGAGTGTGCGAGCGAGAAGGAAAACGAGTTGCGTTGTCGTGGGCGGGAGGGGGAGGGGAAGCAGCTGAAAATTAATTTCTTCATTCTGGCTATAATTATAGTCCGATCTGATTCAGATTCGGCAGTCTGGTATATATGGTCAGTCTCTACAATACTGCGTTTTTAGTTTAACCGTATCTTTAAAACTGTGCCTGCTACAGATTTTCGTCTTTTGTGGGGGCGGAAGGGGGCGAGGCGAAATTTTGAAATGTACTTGTAGCAGTGGGATATCACATAAGTCTGGAAACCAAATTTGGTTGCCCTAGCTCTTATAGTCTCTGAGATCTAGGCGCTCAACAAGACAGACAGACGGACAGACGGACAGACAGACATGGCTATATCGACTCGGCTATTGATGCTGATCAAGAATATATATACTTTATGGGGTCGGAAACGTTTCCTTCTCTGCGTTACACACATCCACTTTTACCACAAATCTAATATACCCCTTAACTCTTTTTTGAGTACGGGTATAAAAAAACCCAAATCACACGCTTACTTGGCTACACTTTTTGTACGTTTAGCAGAGGAATCCCAGCAGGCTGGCCAGTAGCCTTGAGCAACAAATTCGACTGGGAATATTCAGTTAGTCAGATTCGTTGACCGAATCCACAACCTAGAGTCTACAAAATTTAAGTCAACAAGTACAAAATTGAAGTGGCACGAAATAAATTTAAAATAAGATTAAATTCGTATTAAATAATTTCAACACTTTCGTAGCAAATGAGCGACACGAGCGGACAACCGGGCAAGAGGTTAAGCCCAATTCTAAGCCAGAAGGCAGCGAGTTGCTGGATGAAGGGTCCAAGGACGTTTTCTTTGACTTGAAGGATGAAGATGAGGGGACCACCGGCTATTCGACAAGCAATTCGCTGTCGGATATATGGGAGCTCGGATTCCAGCAGCAGGCACAGATACACAAGCTCAAGAAGATGCTAAAATCGAAGTCGCACGAGCAGGACATGGCCCAGCAGGCCGCAGAGACACGCAAGAAGCTGGAGGAGGAGCAGACACGTGTGGGCAGCATGGAGCAGCAGCTGAAGCGAGCCTGTCAGAAGATGCAGCAATGGAAGGATCTACTGGCGGACACGCAGGTGAAACGCCGGAGTCTGGAGAGCCGCCTCGTTAAACTGCGCGAGAAGAAGAAGTGGGCGGAGCAGTGCAATACCCAGCTTGAGTCCAAGTTGCAGCAGACCCTCATCCAGTGCAAGCAGCTCAATGAAAAATTCACCCATAGCGGCGAGATGCTGGATAGGAAACAGATTGACTTTGATAAAATCACAAAGCGGTACAACGCCCTGAAGTCGGACTTTGAGGCCATGGTGTTGGAGAAGGAGGTCAAGATACATGAGTTGATGGGCTCGCTCGAACTGGCCCAGAGTCGATGCCAGCAGCTGGAGCCAGAGAACGTGCGCCAGCAGCAGTACATCAAGCAGCTGGAGGCCAGGCGGGCGACCTTGGAGCACAGCCATGTCCAGCTGAACAAGGAGCTGCTCCTGCTGCGTGATCAGGAGCAGGAGGCACTACGTACCGTGGCCACATTGAGTGAGGAGAAAACGCGACAGCAGCTGCGCCTTGTGCAAATGGAAGAGGAATGGGGCGCAGTGAAACAAAAAAACAAAAAATTAATCCGTTGATAAACGAACGGGATGCGCTGCGGGATGCGCTGCGGGATGCGCTGCTGTCCACGAAGCGGGAGACAGCGGATGCGCTGCGCCTGGAGCTAGATCGGCACCAAGGCCTCTTGGTAGCTGCCAAAACGGAGGTGGATCGACTGACCCAACTGCACGCAAAGACCTCACACGAGAAGGATGTGCTCAGCTACGAGCTGCAGGAGCAGCGCGAACAATTCGCCAAGCTCGAGCAAATACTACAGAGCTTCCAGTTCAATGCAGAGCAGAAGGCCAAAAGGCAGGCGAAATGTGAGCCAGAGAACTGCAGTAGAGCTGAGATTCAAATGAGCAGGCTGCAGAAGATCAACAAGAGGCAGGCGAAAATCCTAAAGGAACACTATGTGGATGTGGACAAGGCGAAGCTCTTCGATGTCGAGCTGCAACTTGACGATTCCCTCACGCTGCAGAGCCTCTGCGCCCGCACCACAACTGTGGACATTTTCACCACGCAGCAGAGTCTGCTCACGGGGCTCAAGGGGAATGCCGAGCAATTAAAGGCGTTTATCAAGCAGCAGGAAAAGCAGGTAAAGCATGGCGCCAGTAGTGATGCCACGCCCACCCATTCGAACATGAAACATTTTGGCTGAATTTCTGAAATTATTTTTGGTTTTTGTTAAGATTAAATCAGCCAACCATTGGCTGATCAGAGATCAATGTCTTTTCTTGTATTGAGTGCAGCTCAGTCTTCAGTCGAGAGGTATAGCTGGCCGGCTACTAGGCCCAGTCCGATATATCGTGGGGCCACGCTTAAGTAAGCTTTTCGGCTACGAGTATACACCATTATCTCAAGTATTATCGGAGTATTAGCCAACTATTCCTAGCTATGTGATTTTTGAAGTTGTGAGGAATTTTTGGGACGTTTTTTTTTTCATTTGCAACCATCTGTCATCTGGCTAAAGTATCTGGCAGTATGCCTCAGCAACGGCAACTCACCAGAACTTTCTTTATTTCTTTCTTTTGGCTGTGCAGGCGGCTTAAGTGAGCTGAAATATGTATATCGGGGCGTGGGAGAAGCTGAGGACAGTCGTGGCAGGTCGAGGCTGAATTATTTAAAGTTTATAATTGTTAATGTGTGTTTCTGTGTGTGTAAGATTTGGTATGCATACGGTACCATAAACCGTTTACAAATTTGTCGTCGCAACTAGAACTTGAACCAGTTGGACTGCGGAGAGGGTTTCCTACGTCGAGCAAATGAGGGTCTGAAGACACGGCGACAGCCTCTGTTGATTGCAGTTGTAGAGAATGAGTGAACAGGCAGTGATGGTACTGTTTCTGATACTGATTTTATTCAACAAACTTAAATTCTATTTATAGGTAACAAAAGGTACAGAAAGTGCTGAGTCTAGGAAGAATATGGTAAAAGGGAATTGGAATTAATATTGAATTAATTTGGATTTAATATGATATTGTGTCATTGGGCAATTGTGATAGTCAGCAAGTGCACCAGTGTTTTTGCCCTCTGAAGAACGATCGCATCGTTGGCAGAATTGCTGCAGAGGCGGTTATTGTTGACTCAGCTACAATGCTTTGTCGTTTGTTATTATGTCTCCCGTTACATGGGTCGACCTGACTTATTCGATAAGTGTATACTATGTAATATTAATTAATGCATAAATATGCGACTGAACATTCTCCGGCCGTTGAACTGGTGTTCAACCGTCGCCCAAGTCGACTGAAAAGTGTTGTGGAATGGGGATCGGGGGTGATGATCCGTGTGGGTCTGCTTGGTTGATTGTTGACTGCCTTGGGTTCCATGATTGATACTTCTTCCGGAGAATGAACGCAATAATCAATAGCATTGATATTGCTAGGGCAGCATAAGTAGCGATTTGATGATGCTGCACTGTGTTGAGATGGTGTGGCAGCCTTTGTTGATTGATTGCCACTAATTGCAGGCGTAAATCTTCCAATTCTTGAAGATAGTCTGATGTCTGGTTCTCCAATTGTACAGTTGCTGGCGAAGGGGGTGTCGTTGGTAAGCGTATGTCCCCAAATCGAGTGTAGGTTGATTTGACTTCACTGATTGTTGTGCTGAAGGTACTGATGCTTATGTCTGTATTGCGAGCAGTGACAGGTGACAGTGAGAGTAAGCCAGTTCCTTCCAGTTGTATGGTTGACGGAAACCCGTTGCAAACTGCCTGAAGTCGTGTGTTGAAGAGTGTGTTGCAAAAATCCATTTATTTGCTTGCTGAGTTTTGGACCACACCATGTCCGCCTTCGTGTGGGTCACTTCACATAAAGGTGCTGTTTTATTGTTAAACAACTGAAACTCACAGCGATTGTCGACATTGAAGACTGTTTGATGATCAAAGCAGATGTATTCTGCGTTGAGTAGTTTAAAACAGCGTCGAAATTATTCTGGAGTAAATCCCATGAATTGATCTCGGTGAGTGTTCACAGTGATTATGGTCGTTTTGAGATTGAACAAGCTCCAACTTGTTGAGTCCCAGACCGGAATCGGCATGATACTGAAAACTTCGAGCTGAACTGTTGAAACTAACGGTAGTGTCACCTTGAAAATGACGTGTGTGGCAGTCAGTGTTCCTTCGACTCGCATGAGCTTGTTAGGTTAGGTTAGGTTTATAGGGCTGCTCGACTGAAGTCGAGGTCACTCGGAGGCAAGTCTGCCCATTGTGATGCCCACACTCGTCACGGGATATTGTCCGCTGCCTAGGGAGGTTTCGCGAACCATCCCGAGGCCTCTATAAAGAGCACCAGTTTCTCTAGAGGCATGTTTGCCAGGCTGTCCAGATCTTCGTAGAAGGCGCCACCGAGTATTCGGTGACGCCTCCCCATGAGTGCAGGACAGTTGCAGAGAAGGTGCTGGATGCTCTCTATTTCCTCCTCGTCCCTGCAGCTGCGGCAGAAGTCATGGTGGGGCAGTCTGTACCTTGTGGCCATGCGGCCGAATTGTATCACATTTTGTGTTGTCACAGGCAGCATTTTATCAGCTGGCAAGTGATCCCGGATTTGGACTAGTTGCTCTCTTAATTGCTCAGGAGATACTACCGTTGGGCTTATTGTCCGATGGTGAATGCCGATTAATACATCAGATATGTAAGACTGCATACGTTGAAGACTCGTTGTCAGCAGAGTTAGTTGTGCTGTGAGCCCTAGGTATGACTGAATTAGATGATCGCCGTGATATGTTCATCTTTCTCGGCTGATGGTTGCCACTTGTTGTTCCAATACCTTTAGGCGGTTGTCCATGGCTGACTTATCCTTCCTGATCACGTTCATTGTGGAGTCGACAATTGACGTTTGATTTCGTAGTAGATGTAGCAGAAAGTCTTCGTTGGTTTGTACCTTTTCGATTACTTTGGCCATTTTCTCATCATATATAGAGTCAAGTACACCGAAAAGCTGGTGTGCCACGTTTCCTACTATATCCAGCGGTGATCTGCGTTGTCGAGAGGCCTTCATTAGCATATTTCCTGTTTGTAGTTCTTTGTACAAATGTTGAAAGTGTTGAAATATGGAGTTGCAGGCTGGGACATTTTTTAGTTCAGGGCACATGTGTCTTAGTTCGGACATTCCGGCTGACATGACTTGCATATCCTTCCAATATGGATCCAAGTCGTAGTATACAATCATGGTCATTCTTGAGGTTCCAAGTTTCTCATAGAAATTTCCAGGCTTGTTTGCGAATTGCGTCACATTTATTGATTGTGAAAATGCTAATGGCAGCATGAGAAGTAACACAAACAATGTGGATGTTAGTGTAGGTAATGATTACCTTTTTCGCTGTGTTGGTGGCTCCTCTGTTTCCGCAATGTCTTGAATAGCATTTTTGGAGCGTTTTGTTGCTACCTCCTCTGAGAATAATGGGGCGAGACGACTGATGTGGCGTTTGTATACACCGGACGATGTTTTGACATCAACCACTCGTGCATGGTTGTCTTGCCCAGGATAAGTTTTGATGATGCGACCCATTGGCCACTTCATTACTGGAAGGTTGTCTTCCTTCACCAAAACTTATAATCCTTCGGTCACGTTTGGAGCGGTGGTTTTCCATTTATGCCGAGTTTGTAGTTCGTGGAGGTATTCCGTAGACCTTTTTTTCCAAAATGCATGTTTTAAGTCTGAAACCAATTCCCAGCGCTTTACCAGAGTTTTCTTTTGACGAGTCAGGTGTCAGGTGCTGCGGTCAAAGGTTCGCCGATCAGGAAATGCCCTGGAGTAAGCGCACTTGTATCCGTTGGATCATTTGACATTGGAGTTATGGGTCGGGAGTTGAGAATCGCTTCAATTTCGATTATGACTGTGTTCAGCTCCTCAAACGTCAAGGATGCTGTTTCTGTGGTTGTAATTAACAGCATTTTCGCTGATTTTACCGCAGCTTCCCAGAGGCCGCCAAACGATGGGGCCCCGAGGAGGAATGAATTTAAAATCCACTTGTTTTTTGTTGCAATGATTTGTGATCAGAGCATATGCCTTTTCGCTAAATATTGCTTCTTTCAATTCCTTTAGCTTATTATTTGCGCCGACGAAATTTGTTGCGTTGTCGCAATGAATAGTCTGACACTTCCCGCGTCTGCTAAGGAATCGCCGGAGTGCTGCCAAGAATGCATCTGTGGTTAAGTCACTTACTAACTCCAGATGTACAGCCTTTGTGGAGAAGCAGCAGAATATGGCAATGTTTGCCTTATCTGGCCGTTTTCCTCGGATTTTATGGTGGATCATAATTGGTCCAAAGTAGTCAACGCCTGCGTTAAGGAATGGGCGTGCTTGCGTGACTCTTTGTGCTGGAAGATTGCCCATGATCTGGTGCATCAGCTTTGGTCTGGCTCTGGTGCATCTAATACAGCTATGTATGATGCTTCTAGCCATCGTCTTGTCGTTGATAATCCAATATTGTTGTCTTGCGATTGCCCTTAATGCTTGGGCACCGCAATGCAGATTTTCCTCATGAAGCTCTCGCATAATCATTTTGACTATTGGGTCGTTGTACGGTAGCAGGATTGGATGTTTTGCGTTGAACGGAATTTGAGCTTCTTCGAGTCTTCCGCCAACTCGGATGAGCTCATCATCTCCTAGTAAGGGAGATAACGAAATGATCGAACTCTTTTTATCCACTGTTTTATAGCGTTTTAACTGTTTTAAATCCGCTGTGAACTCAACTTGTTGAATCGTTCGTAGGATCATAGTGCGAGCACGCCTTAGTTCTCCTGCGCAAAGTGTCGTTGTAGGTGCTCTATTAGTTTTGTAGCAGAAGCGAAACATGTACGCTACAATACGTTGTAGTTTATTGAGCGAGTTGCTATGTCTGCATGTGTATAACTCTTCTGAGAGAGCTAGATGCGATTGGCAAGCTGACATGCTTAGCCTTTCTCTCGAGATTGCTGGGCTCAATGATGGGTGGTTTTGTCCATTTATCTCCTGATCCGTGCAAGAATAATGGTCCGTATAGCCATAGACTATGATCCCTAAGCTTGCTTGCTAGGATTCCTCTTGAAAGGACGTCTGCTGCGTTGTTGGCTGATGAAACATGAAACAGTCGTCCACATAGAAATCGTTCTTCAATGCAGCAGATCCAATAGGTAATCTGTTTTGGTTTCCGAGTTGCAAAATGATCCAGACAGAGCAGATGTGGTCCCATATGTGACTGTTTTTAAGCGATAGTACCTGATATCTTCAGA